CCCGACCCTCTTTGAGGAACTCATCCGCTCGCATCTGCTCCAGCATTTGTTTGATCTCCTCGTTTCGCTCCTGAAAAAATGACAGGGGGTGATATGAAGTAAAGTTTTTGTACAGTACTTCCTCTCACCTCAATCTTCATCCGCTCCACCTCCTCAAACTCCTCCAACTTCTGCTCGAGGAAGAAGAGGCACCGACTGTTTATCACATAGTCGTCGTACAGCTGACCAATGTCCGCCTCCACGCGCTCCAGCTCGTCCATGAAGACCGGTCGCTGGGCGGTGAGCGTCTGCAGGCGTTTCCGGTTGCGGCCCAGCTCGGCGGCCTTCCGCTCTAGCTTCAGGTTGAGGTCTTCGCTGTCCTGGTCCAGCGACTCCTTCCGCTCCTGCATTGAGCTCATCTCCGACTGCAGCTGCCCAATGGAGGCTCGGAGGTTGGCCTCGATGTTCTCGATCACAATTTGACGGCCCAGCACTTGCTGACGCTGGGCCTGGTTTTAAGCAAAGTTTGATGTTTAAAAAGCGCGAAACTTCTGCTGGTAAGCTTACCTTGTTGGCGTCCTCCTCCGCGAGAATGTCAAACAGTTGCGTGCCCATCTGCAAAATCTCCGACGTCAGCTGGTTGGTCTTGAAGTTGTTGTACTGTAAAGAAAAATAAGATTTTTTTCATTTTTAAAAATCTAAAAATGACTTGCCATATTTCGATCAAATGACGTTTCTACGCCGCTGTCCTCGGCACTGTCCTCTCCTCGAAGATCTTCACCACCACCTTTTGAAGCCAATTGTGCCTTCAAGGCCCGCCAGGCGTCGTAGATCAGCTTGGCCAGCTTGAGCATTTCCGGAACCGAGTTGACGTCCGCCATGTACAGCTTCTTGGTGTTGACGTCCAGGTGGGCTTTGCTAACCTGCCGGAAAGAAGGTGTGTTTAGAAAAGTGTTCTAGAGTTTTTTACCCGTTACCATTATCTGCGAGGCGGCACGAACAAAAGCCAGTCGCTCCTGTTCAGTGTCGATCTTGGCGGTGATCTCTAGCGTAGAATCAAATCTGGGGATATTTAAAAACAAAAAGGTTTTTGTAAAAGCTTAAATGTTTTTGGTAGCTTTACCGTTTAAGAAGGTAGCAGAGAATGTCGGCCATCAGCGGAAAGTTGGGCCGCCGAAAGTTCTCCAGCGAGATGAAGCGCGAGTAGCCCAAAGTACGCAGAAGGGCGATGAAATCTAGTGGTGATAATTAATGGGTTTATTTGATCAATTTTGAACATCACAATGGGAAAACAAACTTCTCATTAGGTGAAAGGTCGACATGATGATTAGCGGGTTCAGCTGCTGCTACTGCTGATGCGGAAGCAGCAGATTAGCAACTACGACGTTCTGGGTAATGACGAACGAACCAGTTAGAAGGCAAAAGTGGTTGAATCAGTGGAATAAACACAAAGTGTCGACTCAATCGCTTGTCTGTTTTTCGTTCTGCTCAACAATGCACCCTCCGCCGTTTCCATGGCAATCTGATCGTGAGAATCGAAGTGGTGGGCCCTTTTCATTGTTCTTCTCTGAAACGAATTTCGCACAAAGTTAGTTGTAGAAAAATGGCAGGTAGATGGAGCAGCTGTTGGCACGTTGAGATATTTTCATTTGTTGTTGCTCCATGTGTTTTGCAGCTGATTCACAGCAGCAGCAGTGATTTTGCCGGCGTTTTCAGGACTTTAGGACTTGCTGGTATTTTAGTAGAACTCCAGAGCAGAGAATGGCCACCTCCACCACCAACAAGTCTCTGGCCGCGTCGGACATCACGCTGGAGGAGTGGATCGCCAAGACGCAGAAGCTGATCAAGCTCGACTACGAGGAGGAGCTGGAGCAGAATCGGTATTGTTGTCACTTCTATTGCGTCATCATCACTACTCAAAGAACTAACATTTGGTCCAATCTTCTTTCAGAGTCCAGTGCGAAAAGTACTCGCTGAAGGACCTGGAGAAGAGTGGCTTCGCCATTCGCAAGCTGGTGGTCACCAACCACCGAAACGCCTTCGGCCGAGTGCTCTACCACTTTGCGCTGCCGCCGGCGAAGAAGGACGGCGTCAATCTGACCACTTTTGGCATCACCAATGGGGACATTGTGGCGGTGACTACGCAGAACGAAACCGGCTCCAAGCTGACGGGCGTCGTCCTGAAGATGACCCGCAACAGCCTGGAGGTGGCTTTCGACCCGAACTCCAAGGAGCTGGCCGTCTTCGACCAGGCGGAGACCTTCAACCTGGTGAAGATCGCCAACGACGTCACCTACCGGCGGCTGAAGTTTGCCGTCGACGATCTCTTCAAGAACGCCCAGAAGACCTACCTGGTGAGGATGCTCTTCGGCGAGGAGCCGCTTCAGGAGCCGCTGACGGTGCTGCCGCCCTACACGGTGCCACTTTTGGGAGAAAAAGATGAAGAGGAAGATGATGATGAGGACCACGGCGTCACCTGGTTCAATTCGAACCTCAACGACTCACAGCGAGAGGCGATTCTCTTTTCGCTGTACGCTCGCCACCTCGCAGTGATCCACGGCCCGCCGGGCACCGGCAAGACGACCACCCTCACCGAGGTGATCATGCAGCTGGTCACCCGCGGCCAGAAGGTCTTTGTCTTTGCGCCCTCCAACGTCGCCGTGGACAACATCTTCAAGCAACTGCTGAACGCCTCGCAGGCCGCCGCCGCTCGCTTCAAGGCGCTGGGCAAGCGGGGGACCACGCCCTTCAACTTTGTCCGCCTGGGCCACCCGGCCCGCGTGGACGACCAGCTGAAGGGCTACGCCCTCGACCAGGTGGTCCTCAACTCGGACTCCTCGGTGGTGGCCGACCTGCGCGCAGAGCTCGACCAGAAGACGAAAGGGACCGGGGATAGTAAAGACAAGGGCACCTACCACCGCATCAACCGAGGTGAGCTGCGGGAGCTTCGCCAGCAGATCACCCAGTACGAGACGCGGGCCTTCAAGGAGTCGCTGAAGGAGGCGAATGTGGTCTTTGCCACGCTGACCAGCGCCGCTCTGAACGGCCAGCTGAAGTACCTGCTCGACGCTACGGTCAATGAGAAGAGCAGTTCCTTCATGTTCGACGTGGCCATCGTCGACGAGTGCGCCCAGTCGCTGGAGGCGGCCGCCTGGATCCCGCTGGCCCACGCCCGCAAGTGCATCCTCGCCGGCGACCACCAGCAGCTGCCGGCGACCATCATCTCAAAGTCGGCCGCCGAACAGGGGCTGAGCATTTCGCTGATTGAGCGCGTCGTCCACCGCCTCTACGCCGCCTGTCCGGAGAAGGTGGTTCGGATGTTGACGGTGCAGTACCGGATGAACCACCTCATCATGGACTGGCCGTCGGAGTACTTCTACCAGGGCCGGTTGGTGGCGGGGGAGGGCGTAAGGGAGCGGCGGCTTAGGCCGGCGAATGGCTCCGGTGATGAGGAGCCGTACCCGGTGATNCCGGTTGGTGGCGGGGGAGGGCGTAAGGGAGCGGCGGCTTAGGCCGGCGAATGGCTCCGGTGATGAGGAGCCGTACCCGGTGATTCGCCTGATTGACACCGTCGGCTGTGACATGTACGAGCTGGAGCTGGAGGACAGCCTGTCGAAGGGGAACAAGTACGAGGCGGACATTGTCGCCCTCTACATTCGAGAGCTGATTGACGTGGGCGGGATTGCACCGTCGGAAATTGGTAAGCCCTTCCTTTGACTACTTTAGAAGTACTTTTCCTGACTAATTGCTCTCTTTGTTTTTTTTCTCTTCAGGCGTCATCTCGCCGTACCGCCTGCAGACGTCGATGATTGCCGCCCGCTGTCGGCAGCAGTTCCCCGACGCCGTCTGCAACAGCCTGGAGATCAACTCGGTGGA